CTGAAAAACATGGTGGGGAAAGAGGGTGGGCAAAGAATCCTCAGTTTTGTTTTTTTCTTTTTTCACAGCTTTGGCTTTCTCTCCCTTGACTCGTTTTAGAAATTGTGTTTCAGCCAAACTGGATTACTAGCTGCTCTTTGAACTGCCTACATGCACTCTCTCACCAACTATCCTTCCCTGGACTCTCTCATTCTGGCCTCAGGTCCAGCTCAAGTGCTCCCTTCTGTAGGAAGCCTTCCCTGATTGTCATAGTTGTAATTACTCCCTCTCTCCTCAATTTACTTTGCATTTACATGTCAACATTGTATCCCTCTAGTAAGATGTACTGTCCTTTAAGGCAGAAATGATTTCATTTTTCAACTTTGCATTCCTAGCACCTAGAATAAAGTTTCATACTTAGTAGGTACTTAAATGTTTGCTGGAACCTATTTAAAGAAAACAACTGTTGAGTATAACAACCAAACTACATTCCCCCTCTTCCATCTTCTCCTAGGATCCCATGAAATCCCAAATCCAGAAGAAAATAGTATTTTGAAGCTTTACTGGCAAGAGTGAATTTAAAAAATATTTTGTGAACCAGAATTCCAATTAAGTTGCTGTGTACCTTGAGATAGACCTGGATGAGAAGGCAGCACAGTCCAGTTGAAATTTCCAACAAAAGCTTAATGGCTCATAAAGCCTCTAAACAGAAGCGGCCCCATTCCAAAATAATGGAAATCTTGCTCTCGGTTCAGTCTGTTTCTACTCTAAACTAAATCCACACTTGGGACTTGCTTAATACTCTCAGGGAGGGTTAAAAGGAGTCTGTGCAGGCCTAATTTCCAGTGAAACGAACAAAGATAAACCAGCCCAGGAGAATGTGAGGGAAGGAAGTGCCAGTGCTGACTCACCATTCACAGGATTCCAGAAATAAGAATGATATAGAGGACTTCGATTCAATCAATGCTTACTAAGTGCCCACATGCAACGTACTGGAGATTCCAAAAGTTGGAAGAGACTATTTAGACCAAACCCTTCATTTTACAGACAAGTAAACTGAGGCCCAGATAGGTTAAGTGACTTGCCCAGGTTTATATAGGATGTGGCAGAGCCAGGATTTGAGATCCTATGACTCTTTCCATCATTTTTACAGCTCCTATTCTCAAGTGGCTTGCCTTCTAGAAGAAGCTATATACCATGTACACACAAAAAGTATGAGAGAATGTGTGAAAGGGTAAAGGTGAGGTGTAAAAGAAAATTAGAGTACTTATTTCCAGATGGAGGAATAAAGACTTCATTAATCTTAGGTGGAACGTGAGATGGGAGTTGAAGATTTCAGCAGTTTGCAATGTGAAGGGCAAGCAGGCATAGGAGCTGGCCTGTACAAAATAACGTGGACTCTTGAGATTGGGGAATACCTAGTGGTACCGTTTGGCTGGAGTCTGTGAAGCACAGAAGCATAAAATGAGGTTGGAAATTTAGGTTACAATTATGGAAGGCCTTACCTGCCAGGCTAAGGAATTTGCATTTTATCCAATATGCAATGGGATGCATTGAAAGTTTCTGAGCAAAGAAATGACATGGTTCAGATCTAATAACTCTTAGGAAGATTAATATGGCAACTTTGTGAAAAACATATTAGGAAGGCGAAACACTCAAGCCAGGGAGCACAGTTGGGTGGCCATTATAATTGTGTCAGTTCACAGAACTCCAAATTTTTTTGATACACCTGTATCAACAAACATTTTTTGAGCACAACCTTCAGTTATGAGTCTAGTGGGGGACTGGTGCATGTGTGGAATGCCTCAGTGTGCTTCTAAAAGAGAAGTGATGACATGGATGGAATAATAATAGCTAAAATTTTATACAGTTGTATGTGCCGCTACACTAAGCACTTTAAACTTATCTCATTCAATCCTCCTAACAATCCTACGATATTGTTATGCTTTTATAGATGAGGAAACTGAGGTAGAGGTTAAGTGACTTGCCCAAGGTCACACAGCTAGTAATTGTCTGCGGTTGTAATTGAACTCAGGTGCTCCTGACTCCAGGTCTGGCATTGTATCAACTATGCCACTTAGCTGGAAATATCTTAGAGACACTGTGGAGCACACGGAGACATTCCATAACTGGTTCTAGCCTCCTTGCCATGTGGTTAGTAGCTTTTATCAAATGGCCACTTAGCTAGACCTAAGATTATTTACAAAAACATCTATGGCCTACCAGTCTCTTTGGCCATGTTCTCTTCAGCTGCATTCTTGGTAGATCTTTTGAACTTTTAAACTAAGATCTTCTCCAGTGAGAGATCTTGCTAAAGGGAGAGGTCTTGGGCCCTTCCCGCCAAGGTTACCATGTGGTCCTGTGAATATAGGCCTAGATTCTTTGCCTATCTTGATGTTCTTTCATTTTAGGTGAAGAGAGAATTATCTCAGCATCCCTAGTTTTTTCAGGGCATTAGTACTGGTTCCCTGGGAAGCAAAGCAAAACCTTTAGGACCCAGCCCAGAGTAGATAAGATGAGGAACTCATTTGGTAGTTACATTGCATCTAGGTATGAACTTGATGGGACCAATGTTACTTAGGACTACTCTCCAAAGTCTGAGATGGGATAGAAGGAACTGTGTCCCCAAGGTGCTTGGGGAAGGCAGAGGAGGAATATTTCTTCTTCTATTCTTGTTACATCTTTGAAGTAAATATTCCCCTATAAAAGATAATTGATGACAAGTGGTTGAAGGAACTGGCACACTAGTCACTGACAAATAAGATGAGGATAGACATAGGTGGTGGGGGCTTGAGTTGATAGCAGTAGAGAAGATATACCTCTCAACTCCTAAGGGTACCCTAGAACTCTGAAGGTAAGGTATAGCTGGCCTTGCTCTGGGTAATTAAGTCAGAAAAAATACACACACACACACACACACACACACACGTATGTATGACTACACTAATAATTATGTATGTTAGAAAGTTTACACAAAAATATAAATGAAAGGCTGAAATGTTATTGGGTTTACAATCGGGAGGTACTGGAGTTCACTGGGTAGGGCAGTGCATGGTAAGATCTGTACTTTAGGGAAAGAACTTTATCAGCAGAGTGGAAAGACATAAAGGAGGGAGATAAATCAGAAGGCTATTAAAATAGTCCTGGCAAGAAGTGGCCAGGACCTGAAATAGGATGGTAACTGAGTGAGTAAAGGAGATAGATGCAAAAGATGAACACAAAAAATGATAAAATTTGGCAATGGATATGTAGGGCAAGGAAAAGAGGAATTAAAGATGGCCCCCTAGGTAACCAGAAGGATGTTGGTGTCCTTGACAAGAAGAGGGGAGTTTGAAAGAGGGATGGGTTGGGAGAGAAGATAAAGAATGAGATCTGCAACACAAATCACAACCTATCCAAGCCTCATTCTGTGTGACTCACCCAGTCCCACCCAGAATGTAGGGGTAGGGGATGGTGGGGCTCTTACTCATTGGTTATTGCCTCAGAGCACAAAGTCTGCCCCTCCAAGGGGCACTGCAGCCAAAAGGAGATCTGAAGAGGAGAGGGTGGGCATAAGGAAGGAGAGGATTTTCCCATTAATACCTGCACAATCAGTGCTGTGGGTTGCTTGGGTTATAACTTCCTTGAGGAAAGGATGCCAGGATCAGAAGGAAGAGGTTGGGAGCTTGCAAATCAAAGGAAGGGGCAGAGTGGGGGAGTACTGAGAGATAAGAGGTCTGATTGTGTTAGAGATCTTCCCACCCTCAGGGATGAGAGAGATGATGAGAAGGTGGAGAGAGGGGAGAAGAGTGGTAAGACAGAGAGAGAAAGTAGACAGTTTGCTGAGGTATATTCACAGGAAGGTGGCAGAAAGAGGAAGGTAGATGGTGAGGGCAGCACATAATAATGGAGGTAATACTAGATTTGAGGTCTGAAGACCACCATTTGACTTTGGGCTGTGATACTTCCTAGCTGTGTGGCTGAGCAAATAATAGAAACTTTAAGCCAGTTTTCTTTTTTATTAGACTTAAGTTGCTTGAGGGCAGGGACTGTCATCTTTATATGCCCAGCACCTATCCCAAAATCTTGAACATAATAAGTCAAATAATAAATGTTTGTTGAACAGAATCGAACCAATGAAGATGACAGAGGAATGTTTCCACAGGGGCACAGGAAGACAATGGCTTCAACAGAAGCTAAGGGAAGAGACATGATGGTCAAAAATATTAAATGTTGCAAAAAACTTAAGGGAGATAAGGAATGAAACAGGCCATTTGATGTGGAAGTCAGGTTGAGGTAGGTGACAGACAGTCTCTCCATCCCTAAGCCCTGTCCCTAGGATAGGCCAAGCTCAAACCATGTCAGACCATTTTCATCTCAAGGACATTTTCTCTGCTTCTGGATTAGTACCTTTCATCCTAAAGGGCTTGAGGTACCTCATTAACTATTTTGTACCTCTCTGATTCTAAGCAAGAAAAAAATGACTAAAAGTTGAAATCTGAAAGGCCTTATGGTCGAAAACAAAGCTTAACATCACATCTACTGTGCACTCCATTTTATAACTTAGTGTCTAAAAAATGTGTTCCTCATGATACTGTTCAATCTACTCCCCCTCATTTATCTATACTAGAGATGGAAAATAACTCATCACTACTTAAGTATATTTCTTTTTGCACTTCCAGACTCCCTTCTTAAGAGAAAAAAAAAATCTATCTTTCTTGGTACAACAAATCATTTTGCTCTGAACCTAGTTGTCAAACCTGAGGTTATTCTTGGCTATGGTCAAAAGCCTGGTATTTAAAAGGATAATTTTTCAAATGACTCCATTTTACCAGGTCAGCAGGCAGCTCTACCCTCCTCCTAAGAAATCATTGACAAAGAATTGCCTGAAGAAAAGGCACGAAGTTTCCTCCATTCTACACAACCTGGAGTGACTCAGCACGATGGGGTACTGGTTCTTAGCTCTTTGCTTTCCTGAGGAAGCCTCCTGTAACATATGAAGAAGCCTCTATTATGACACAGTATAGCAATGGACCAGATTCTCCATAACACCATTTTTATTACCAAGTTAAATTTACAAGGAAGTTCCAGTTTTCATTTCCACCCTCATGCTTAGTACACATGAACTGTGACTCATGCCAGCAAATGCAGGTACTTCCCTAGAATGGGCCACATTTTCAGTAACATTTACTGTACCAAGATTTCCCAAATATGCTCCTCTCCAACATCTAGCATCTACATCTATTATTTAAAGGAACATAATGTATTATTACATGTACTCCAAACATTTAACATGACTTAGATTAAATATATTTATTGCCTCTAGAAAAAGATCAGAATTAAATTCTCCCTGTATTTTCATTTTTACAGTGCATCTTCAGAACTATGTATTTGTTATCAAGTATTGTATATTACCTTACTTAGATATGTGCATCATACTACTTACCTGACCCTTTTTAAAAAAAAATTGTTTTGCTCGGTGAATGCTTGGTTGGTCACCCTCTTTGAAAAAAAAAAACGAGATATCTCCCCCTTCTCCCATTGCAGTGAAGAACAAATAAAATAAGACAGTAAAATACAATGTGTTTTTAAATGAAAAGTTAAATAAAATCAATTTTCGACCTCTGCTCTATCTACAGGGATTAGCTCTACCAAATCTGCTTCTCTTTAAATTATAATTTTTTGAAAGACTATCATCTCATGATATCACATCCACTATAACAATCATAGTAGCAATACGTCTGCTTTAGCAGTGACTGCCGTATAACAAAAGTCAAAGTCACTTTGGCTGGCCAATTTCTCCAAGAGGCCCTGGGGCAGGGCATTGCATTTTCCTCTCATTCCCATTCCTCTATTCCTCATTTCTCCAAAGAACTCAAAGCAATAAAAGCACAGGTCATTCTACTCAACATTCTTCAGAAGACCACTTAAGAGAAAGTCATTTCATTTGCTATCACCAGGAGGCCAGGTTTGCTTGTTTTTAGATACACTTTAAAATCTTACATAATCCAATTCATTGGGAGTAGTTTGGCTGTACACCAAAACCCTGGAATTAAGCCTAACCTAGGACCAGTGCTGGTTAGATTACATGCTTCAGAGAAAGCACTGGGAATTAAAGTCAAAGTGACTAATAATCTTGTCCCCCTACTCTGGTAAATTAACTTCTGTTTCCACATTAAGGGTTAGGTCAAGGAGCAAAAGAATTGGAATAGGGTTGAACTAAGGTCTCTACCTGCATTTCCTGCAGGTGATACAAAGCGGGGTTAAAGGATTTTCTGAACTGAATTCCAAGGATTTGGGTCTAGGACCCAAACCTCAGAGGGGTCATATGACAATTCCAAAGTTTTTCCTAAGGCTAATCTAACTGTCCAATGCAAAAGATCATGAGAATTTGGTCTACCTACATTTGGCTATATGATCAACTATGATATTTGTGTTAATGTAAAGTGATGTGGGATGCAAAGATTCATTTTCACAGCAAGACAGAACCCTCGTAATGATTTGCTCAAAGTTTGTAGCTAAGAATGGTAGCAACTGTGTTGGACAGTTCTGCCTCCTCAACCTCAACATCCAACTTGCTATTGGCTTTTGGTGTAAAGTCTGCAACTATTCTTCCAGTTTAAAACAAACGAAATATACTACAATCCAAAGGGTCCCACAAGCAGTTAAGTATTCTAAAGAGTCAATATCATCTGGATAGTTTGCAACAAGTTTAGAGTACCAAGATTAGTAAAGTTTATCAGAGAAGAATAATCATGCTCACTCCTCCTGGTGTGTGCAATACTGTGGTGAAGTATATCCCAATGTCCTTTTATTTTCATATTATCCAATCATAGAAATGAGATGGTTCTTCTAAATATTGTTTTGAGAACCTACTTCTTACAAAAATCTGGGTCCTACCTTTTCTGTTCATTCATAATTATTTGAAATTGTCTGGCAGTAAGGAAGATGGCCTATGATCCTACAAATACTTTATGTTAAACAAGTATCTTGGGAAGAACAAAAAAACTGGAGGGAATACATTAAATCACAAAAGCTGCTCAATTCAATCCAACCTTAATTAGAATAGTTATTCTCTGAAAAGAAGGAATTTATGGGCCCTTGATAAAAGGATACAATTTGCATTCAGTAAGAGCCAAAGTACACCAGTCCCATTACAAATTCTCAAGGGTACATTGAACCAGACTGAAAACACTTAAAAAATTAGAGGATCTCCCATCACCAAAGATCCCATAACTTGCAATTTTTTTTCACAGTGCTCTGAGAAGACAATTGGGGAAATCATATCATTTTAGTAAATATGGTTCTATAGGATTTCTGGTAGGGACTGCATTTTTTATTTTCTGGGAAAGTATTGTTATTCTTTTTCTTTTCTTTCTTTCTTTTTTTTTTTAATGACAATGGCTGGGAAAGTAGCTGTGCTTCTCTATTTTCTGTTGCCAGAAAAAATAAGTACAAATAATTTCAAAAACAGAAGTAGCATACTTCTCAGAGGTTAACTGGCTTCCAAGAGGGTAAGAGGGAAACTCCATGTGTATGAAATGTTTCCCTCCCCTGATATACAGTCATGCTGCTGTAAGAAGAAAATGAGTAAACACTGAATAACCAACTGTTTCAGGGGGAAGGGTCACCCATTCCTTTATTCACTTATTTCCATTAATCATCTTATGCCCTTTTTTACCTGCCATCCCTTCCTTTGCAGGGAAGGACATGATATCTCCAATAACTATGGTTTTTACTGTCTTTGTAAGGGCTTTATTCATTTGTGCACAAACAGCATCTGTTTCAGATTGGATGTTTTCTTTAACAACATGAGGGTCCACCTGTTGCCATGTTTCTGATTGAAGGTCTGAAGGATGAAACTAAGTGGGAGACCTATTTGGAGTGACTTGGTACCCATAATTTTTTTTTTACTTCTTTATCCACTGTTTACAACTCTTTTAGGCCATTTCTATTCCAGTGACATAAAATCTGAATTTTAGCAGGTCAATATGCTACAGCATAGAACTAGTTTGAAAAATGTTGCAAGGACATTCAAAGATGTGCCAGGGATAGTCTTCGATAGCATCACCAAAAGTTCAAAGTCAAAAGTAGTATGAGAATTGGTATCAACACATCTGATGGACAGATTCTTCACCAAAAAGAAAGTAGTCTTTTAGTTTTACAGTTGAATGGATTGAGATGAATAATATATTAACTATTTGTGGACGGTAAACAATTTTGCTTTGTAGAAAGGTATATATGATCTTTAGTTTAATTTTAAATACACCAGTGTGTTCATCCACATATAAACCAAAATGTGATGTTGAAAGGATGAAAGAGGAAACATAGAGTCTTGCCTTGTTTTACAAATAAGCTTACCCATTTGTACAATGGTTGAGAGGGGAAGAGGAAGAGAGCAACTGAGTCAAATCCCTCAAGACTGCAAAGGCCTTGAATGTCACAACCATTGAGATTATTAGCTGGCTCTTGGATTTCTACCTCTGTGAATGAGTACACAAAACTGGTTTTATGGGCAAATTCAGTAGACAAATCTCATTTCACCTGTGTAAAATTATAGGAAGTCTATTCCGCAGTCCTCATGGTTTCCCACATTTCTTTCTTTGCCCCATACAGAGATGGCAATAACTAAAGGGGATGCTCAAAACACAGTTCACATTTGGTTACAGAAAAAGGCCTGAGTAGAAGATTTCTTTGAATTTTTTATCTTTTCAAGAAAAGATGTTCTCATTAAGGAACAAAACAGAGCTTCTTCTCTGTGACAAAGAAGCCTACTATACATGGTATCTTCAAATCCCTTCTCTGTTTGAAAAAGAATCTACGCTTTCTAAGAAGGTGCTTTTTCATTCAATAGGCATGCAGAGTTGGGTTGGTAAGTAATGAAGTCATAAATGTCACTTATGAAAATGTAGCATACCATACCTTCTTCATAGACAGCTTTGAAAAGACAGGTAACCTCAAGATAAAAAAATTATACATTATACTCTTAGCATTACAAGAAACTTCAGGAATGAGGTGGCGGTGGTTTTTCTTTTTTTCAAATAAATGTTTCTAGTCTGATATCAAATGTTGAAATAAATATTACACCAATGAGACATTACTACAGTTCATCTCATTTTGAATATCTTTTGAAATGACCTCATCCATTGCTGTTAGATAAATCTGTTCAGTCAACTCAAAATGAACAAAATGAAAACAGAACTACTTAAGCTGAATGGACACAGTTTTCTGGTGGTAGGTTTGACACAGCTACAAGAGCCTTTTTTGTTTTTTTGCCTCTTTCTGGACAAGTGTTTTGTGTCTGAAGTCTAACAAAAAGAATAACAAGAATGTCACATAGAGGTTTCTTCTTTTGGCAGCAAACATGGAACAGCATCACGCAGGTATAATTATGGTAGTCTGGAGAAACTCTGTCTTCATCAATTTCTTAGATGTCTGGTTCTTTCTTATGTACAACATGAGAAATGTGAATTTGAACAGAGAACTGGGTTTCTTTCATTTCAAGAGACAGAAACAATATTTGTTAGGATAGGCTACTGCCCTTTCTTATAATCCTGGCTGTTTCACAAGTATCCTTCATGTAGCTACCATTTAGTTCCTATAGCTTTTTGAGGGGCCACAAATAAAAAGAAAGCAAAATCAACTGCATCACTGTTCAGACTGATCTGCTGGCGCATGAGGGGCAATCTCACCCTCTGTCACTTTATAAGTTTCTATCTGTGTGGAAGACTGAGGGGTGCAGGTAAAAGAGTGGAGGCTGTGTGGGTCAACGGGAGGAACCAGGGTCAAGGATTCCACACTCAGGGCATCTGTAGTGTCATCAGAAATGAGAGAGATGGTGGGCTGCTGAGCAGGAATCAGACTGGGGGACAGGTTTGCAGTTTCCACTTCTGAACCCTTTCCAAGGCTCTTGCTGGACTTGGAAGTTGTAGGGATTTCATTAACAATCACCACTTGGTCAGGAAAGGTCAGCGGGAGCTGCCGGGGAGCCGTAGGATCATCTGGTAGAAGAAACAAAGAAATATTTAAAATGATACAATTTTTTCTATTTGAGGCCCTGCAGATTCTACTCTGTCTCTCTCTCTCAAAAATGGTTCCCTAAGGGCTGCTTGAGCCCTCTGAAAAAATATGCAAGAAGTAGCCAGATATCTGGCAAGCAACTTGCCTCTAACAATCTTTCTGTATACTCAAAAGCAAGCATATCAAAATACTATCTCTAGATGTGATGCAAATCTGCATTACTATGACTATGTAAATAGTCTGGAACATATACATTACAGGTGGATAATGACATTATAATAACACTGCAGTGCAGGGACATGGGTGTGGCCATGCTTTATGTGTGGCTGGATCCTGACAAACACCATTCAGAGCACATTATTAAGGAAGCAAACTAGCTCTAATAAACTTATGAATATATTTCAAGTCTGTATAATGACCATTTCTAGAAACTAAATTTGGTGAAATTTGCTCAGGGTTGGTGTAGGAGGTCAAACATGAAATCACTGGGAAAAAGAAAAAAAAAGGCAGCCCTGATTCTGGAGAACTTTTCAGCTTATACAAACCCTGGACTGTGGTTAGTTTCACACTGGTACACGTAAGTGCTGAGTTAGCAATCAGAGAGGGACCTCTAATAGTCAAACTCCATTACTAGAGTGATTATTCTCCACTGGGACTATGGAAAAGAGCCATTTCAGGGGAAAGGAGAGGCTTTCCACCTAATGAAGTTATTTTAGGAGCTGCAATTTCTTTTTTGGTACTTTTCAAAATGCTGATTAAATTACAGACAAATTACCTATTTGCCTTCCAGTGAGTGTTTCACATATACAGAAACACTCAATAAGACTGGAGTTCATTTTAAATACATCTTCCAAGATTCCAGATGATGGTAATTTAAAAAACCATTATAGTGATGCAGACATTTTGTTAGGAGAAATAATTTTTATTTATATGGATCTTCATTTCATGGATACCATTTAATTACACTGGCCATCTGCAGAAGACCCTCTAATGAGTTTTATTTCTGATGATGCAATGGGATCTTGAGGATGATTTAGAAATGTTTCAATATGATTCCTGCTAGTTTTAATCAAAGAAAAACAAAACAAAACTAAGGCAAAAACTAAACCCATAGCAAAGGACAGAAAACAAAATATTATACAGAATGGAAACAGGAAAATCCTGATTAATGCTATTTCAAAGAGGAAAAAAAACCATATGCAATTTATCTCTGGAAGTACCAATCTACATTCTTCTAGTAAGACTGCCAATCAAAATATGCTCATAACTTGATTTTTTAAAAATTAAATATTAGTCTTTAAAAAGAAAAAAGGAAAAATAAATGTCTTGGCCTTAGATTTTTGTCTTGAGTAGATACAAGAAAGAGGCAGTAGGGTAGTGGTGAACAATAGTAAAAAAAAAAAGTGATTCAAGGCAAAAAACCAGAACAAGAAATCTGAGCAAACACAGAACATGGATTCTGATTCCTCTGATTTCAACTAATTCATTCTAATTGATAAGAGGTTTTGTGGTGGTCCCCTAACTTGAAATATCTACAGGCCTATCAACTCTTCATTTCACATTGTTTCCCTCTAATTTGGCCTAACTTTCCATTGCAGTGAATACAAAGGCTAAAACATGTATAATTTAGGGGCAGATAAAGCAGTCTGCAAATGACAGAATCAAACTATGCATTTAGGTAATCCCAAGAGCATAATGAAGGTATATGTGGCAGGGGCAACTCTCAAAATTCTTTTTCAATGGTTTTCCATTTGCTGTATTTTGTGTTTTAATGTAGTTTTCAGATACACAGAAGAAAGCTACTTAGAAGTGGCAAATATCACAGCCCAGATTTTTGAACAATGTCACAAATGAAGGGTTCTTTGATGACAGGAATGATAAACAATGTTAGAAATTTGCAGCAAAAAATGTAATGGTTTAGTCTGGAAAATGAATTTACAATTTAGAGAAAAGTTGTTTTTCACCTAAAAATCACTTCAGTAATCTTTTAAAGGAATATTCCTTTATTCTTCCCTAAACAGGCGTACTATTCCTAAGTTTAAACCAACTCTCTCCTTGATTGTGACATAATTTATCAATGCAAGGGTGAAGGAGAAGAGGAGAACTTAATTAGGCTTTCATAAAGGAAAACCAGGACTAAAAGAGGACTAATTTTCCTGCCAATTATTCATATGAAGAATACTTCTGTAGCCATCATGATGGCTGAGGGCTTTTTCTCAGTCCAACAAAGTATTATGATTATGGCCAAGGAAACACTGTATTTGAGGGAAATACTGACCATGTGAACAAAGGTGTATGAGACTAAGGTGTTTAGACTCTTAGACTGAGCAATGAATTTTTAATTGGTTTTTATCAGATAACTAGTACCTACCACACCACAGTGTTATGCATCCTGTGGACAATTGCTAAATACTTGCTGCCTGAGAGCCTGTAATAAAAGACTTTGGTTTATTGTCCTATGACAGAAAGGCACAGAGTAAAGTTACACAGAAAATCAAGAAAACTATAAAGTAAGCAAGAGTGAAAAACCCAAAGGGAAGAAGCTTTTAAATAAAAAAAAAAAGTCAAAATACCACCGACAAAAGAAATCATAAACTACTAGAACACAACTTGGAAACCAAACCAGAAATATAATTTGCGAAAGTTAAAATGTTTAAGTCCACAACAAAGGTCTTAGCAAAGATTCTTCTCAATGGTCCATAATCAATCTAAATGAAAACTATTATACAAAAAGGGGGAAATGATAAACATATTAATATTTGTAAAAGAAATTATTATTGTGCTAGGACTCCTACTGTTTAAATTACATTTATTACTTCAAGTAGAAAAAAAATAATTCCATAATAGCATTTGACTGCTTGGTTAATGCTTTGTTTTCTTTCGTATGCTACCCTTTATCTCCTGACCTCCCTTTCTCCCCAAAAAAACCTCCAAACAAAACCTCCACACCAAACTTGATTCAGGATAACCCTGAAGAAATTCCATTTGGAAATTTATCTCTATTTCACAGCACACTGAATAAGCCTGCTAGTGGATAGGTTTGTGCCAATCTTGACTTTGACACTGTATTTCATAGAAATGGGCATCATTCCAGATCTGCACAAATTTAGCTTAGAACTGAGCTTGAAGTACCTTATAGGTCTCTAAGTATTTCATTTTACCAACTAGACACAGCCAAAAAGATAATTTGAAGAAAAGCTTCTACACGAAAGCTTATGAAGTACCAATTATGATGAACTGTATTGAAGTTTAGAATGATGTTCTTAAATCATACAGCCAAATGCTTTCAAAGTTCTGCTGGATGATGCTTTTTTAGATAGTGTGTCCCACCTGTACCTGAGCAAGTCATGGTTGTTAGTATGGAAATACAGCATGGCTTTTAAGGGCTGTGAGCTCATGAAGTCTAATGGAAGAACCTGCCTGAATTGATTTTGCGTGAGTTGCCGTGGCAGCTGCTGCTTGAAGACCTAAACCCAGTGTCCACCATGACTGTCAGCCTCCGACAGACTGAACACTCGCCGTCGTCCTTTCCTGCCAGACCTTACTAAAGGAAAACACAGCGACAGATCATAGGAAGCCTTTAACAGAGAATGGAACAGAGAAAAGGGAAGTGGGAATGGACACAGGATAAATGTTACAATACCAACAACAAAACAGTAAGAGATGCAGTGTAACATTTGCTCATAACTGCTGGTGTCTAGCGCTATTTATGCAGTCATGCTTAGCATGCAGGTTAGGTAAAGCTACTGAAGAGCAAATGACATCTAAGAAGGAACATATCCCCTTCCAATCATATTTCTTAACAGTGTAAAGCATCAGGCCTGTTGGGAAAGGAAACAAGATTTTGGTTCAACAATATCTAGCCTAAGGTTGCAAAATTCAACAGACTCAAGAAAAAAATACTAGTGGATTTCGGATGTGAACCAGCAGTTAAGAAATGACAGTTTTACATGTGGGACAGAGTAAGGAGGTAGAGTTGAGTGGGGGGGAAAGGTGGGAGGGAAGGGCCAGCCAAACCAGCTAAGTGAAACAAGCATATTTTTGACACTGATTAATAAAGCGGACAACTATCAGAATCACATCAGGAAAAGTACAACACTGTTCTCTGATGAGTGAACCACTAAAGCCATAGCTAGAAGGCAAAGTTTACATGAAAACCTTTAGGTATTATAGTAGACTAAATTAGTAAAATTTTAGGGCTTTAAAATCACCTAGTCCAACCCCTTCATTGGCTCAGATGTGTAAAGGGATTTGTCCAAGGTGACACAGCTTGTCAGTGGCAGGGCAAGGATTAGAACTGAGGTTGTCTCTCAGCGTGTGTTCTTTCCATTATACATAATGCTTATGGATACCTGCATTCCCTTAAAGGATCCTCAAATTAATACCTTTTAAAAAGCAAAGGCAAAATACTTCAACACAAAGGGCCTAAAGTAAAATACAGTGCTATTCTAATTGTAAGAAAAGGTTAGTGACATATCTTGTAGCAAGGGAAAATTTCATTGCCTTTGAAAGAAAGAGACTTCTAAGATTAAGGACTTTGAAAAGAAGCACTTTTTTTCTGGGTGTTGGTCCTCGAAATGAAATTAAATCATATGCATCTTCACTTAGTAGTATGCATCTTCACTTAGTAGTAGTCTGATTTTTTTATTTTTTAAATGAAAATTTGGATTATATTAAAACGGATGGTTCAACTGTATGGATATAGAAACAAACCACTGACAGTCTGCAGACTCATGGTCTCCTAGGAAAGGCCTACACTGACTTGTTCATATTGTCAAGGACATTCCACTCTATAACTTTTTAAAAGGACTAGTTCTTTCTTGCAAAGTCCTCCATGTCATTTTTTTCATATTTTTTTTCCAAGGAAACTTGGGAGAAATTCAAATGAAGCTGCATTTTACAGTTTGACATATCTTTAAAATGGGCATGATTAAAAGAGAACATGAGCTGCACCCAATACTCCCTTTCAGCTTCATCATAAAGTAGACTTCTCCCTTACCCAATAAGTAGCACATCCAAAAACACGTAAAAAATCTCAAAATATGGATATCTAAGGCTACAGTATAGCTTGGACATTCAGAGAATGCTTACCTGAGGACACTGTATGTTAAACCAAATCACAAGTATTAATGAAGGGGAAAAAATCCAGTCAAATAACTTAAGTATATTTCTAATGGCCTTAATATTTATTTCCACCATCAGGTCTATTTCCCTCTTTATGGGATTTTTGCTATTTAGATATAATCTTTGCTATTTAGATTTCTCAAAAACTGTAAAATACTATTAAAAAATGCAAGATGCATCTAATCCCATATTGTCTAAAAAGGGATCAAATTAAAGGCTATTATGTTTGGCCTGTCGCAGACATGACCCTTTGCTTTCAACCTAACAGTTAAAAAGTTTAATTTCTTTAACAAGAAAGTGTTTTGCTAACCACTGACCTCTTTAAGGATCTCAAAGCACTCAGTTTAAAAGGCAGAATAGTACGGAAATTATAATTCATTAATAATTATCTTGGTGTACTGCTTTTAATATATGAAAAATTTGTAATTAGATATCTTTGGTCCCAAACAGATTTTTCAGTGTCTAATCCTCCTAAGAAGCAGCATCTTCTTCCTCCTAATTTCATTATAGCACTGGCTTTCCAGTTGATGTGGAAATAGTCACTTTCAAAAGGTTATACAATATTTATTGCTAAATGACTATTACATAAAATGTCACTCTTTGATGCGATAAAGAATGAAACTGGAAAGATCTCTACTGGACTACAGGAATGTACAAGTTGATAGGACAAGTTTTCAAAAGAGACTTGTCTTCAGCTCTGAGTATTGAACTTAAGAGTTGGCATACCAGTTTGTTCACAGAGGAAGACATGAGTAAGTCTCAATATGTCTCAAACAGTAATTTTCAACCTTTTCAGTTTCTGAAAAGGTAGATTCTTTGTAAGACTAAAGAGTCCCATGGACCATTCATTAAACATTTATTAAGGGGGAAGGAGAATATATGAGCACAACAACACATTGTTCTGAGAACAGAAAAACACCAAATAGCATGATCAAGGTGGGCTAAAGAAGGAGAGTGATGCTGTATGAGGGCAGACAAAAACATTAGAAGGCAGACATCAAAGTCTATAAAATCATAATGCGTAGGAAGAGGATGAAAAATGAATTTGTTTCCCAAATCCTAAGTTCTAGAATAAGTGGCCCCCCATAAAGTCTGAAGGAATTAAATTTAGGACACCCAAGAGAAAGTACTACTTCAAACAGTAGATAGTAGAGGCAGAAAATATAATTATGTTCAAAAAAGGTATAGCCAGGAGTGACAGACCCATAATGGGTTAGCAGATATTCTTGAATCTTTGATATTGAGCAAGGACAATCATATCCTTTCTCAGCACATGCTTTGGCCATAACTGGGATAGAACCATGAGTTTTATTCATGTGGGCATTTGATATACTATGTTCATGGAGTTTTTGCTTAAGATTAACAACTACATCAATGTTTTCTAGATGTTTAAGTTTGTGTGTTTTAGTGCGAGTTTAAATGTTATTCAGTGAAAAATAGACTTTAAAAACTGCCCTTCACTAGGCTCCATTCATTTGTGCTAAGACCCCATGGAAGACCACTGGAGGGAATACTAACGGTCCTTATCACTGGCATAAGGCTGATCTTCAAAACTATTTTGAACAGATCACTATGAATGATGACCCTAATTATTCCCTATGTGTATACTTCAACTCTGAGGGATTGTTTAAGACAAGGACATACATATGAGTAATCAACACCTTGTTTGGGACACCACTGACCCACACAATCCCAGGCACCTTACTAAAGAGAGTTTCAAGATAAGAGAAAATCTAGTTCGATATTCAGTGAGTGTTTTGAGCATATCAAGTAATTGTTCAGTACAAATGGAGAGTTTACTGACTCTAGGAGGCTACATAAACAGCAACAAAATTCATCTGATTCAGCACTACTGCCCTCAAAAACCATTCCAACAATAACTAGCAACACAGGATAGAGCATTTTTCTACTGTATAAAATGATTCCAGCAAATAGTAGAGTAGGAGGGTTGACTGAGGTGGTGCTCTATTTGGTTTGTTACAAACTAGGCCAGTCTGACTAAAATGTTGAGAAAATCACAAACCTCTTCATCAGAGGGTAGAAAGTGTGGTGGTAAAATGTTGTCATAGCTGTGGCTAAAGGTCAGAAAGCTGTACCTCTGGTAAGGATCCCAAAAACAGACTCCCTAGAAGCCAATATGGTGCCAACAAACTGGCAGAAGGACATCTATGCCAAGAATAATTCTTCCCTTCTTTTTGGTTGGTGGCTATGTACATCCCCTCTGCTGTGGTTCAGCATGATACCAACCAGATGTTGGAAACTTCTTACTAAAGGAACATCTCTCCCCCTCCCCCCACCTCCATAAAGAATCTGGAAAACCAATATCCTATTTTTTAAATTTAATTGACTATACCACAAGTTTAGGCCAGAAATTCTACATCTCAACACAAATGTAGGCTTTCAACTTGAGTTGTTGCCAGCTTTCAGGTCTAGATTTTTACACAATTTAGAAATAGTTTGGCTCCCATGGGGTAACTTACCTACTTTACAGAGCTGTTGTGTGCACAACACTTTCTAAACCCTGAGGTGCCTTCTAATTGGGAGCTATTCACTATTGTCATAACCCTTTTGAAGCAGTTCATATTCTTTGTTACTTTGTGGAGAGCGAGCAGCCTGCCTGACACGTGCTGCTCTTCATCATGTAGGTGAGTCACTAGAGTTTTGGTAGAGTCAGGCAGGCAGGATTTACTTCAGTGCTTTCACTGTCAGGCCACCTAAAAAATGGTGACCCAATAGATTTCTTCCAGATACAGTGGAATGCACAGAATTAAAGTATATACTTATAATGTTATGACCATCACTTATTGACTTGGTACTAAAACTAGTAGAACTGTCCAGTTACTTTCACCATCAGCTAGCTTAATAGCTCCTCATTTTCTAACATGAGAAAACATGCCATTGGCATGATATAGAGACTGAAGAGGAGATGAGTGTCAAGTGGATGGGAAAGACTGAGAAAAAATAATGCTGGGCATCTAGGGGAAGATGTGAAACATATACATGCCATGGTTAAGATGAACATTTTATACATTCTGAATCATGATAAAATATCACATATTTTAACAGGTTGGGCAGCTTAATAGCAAGGTACTATTCATTCATTCACTGAGTTTGAGGGTTCTGAGCCTCTTTTTATGTCACAGACCCCCTCTGCAGTTTGGTGAAACCTGTGGACCTCTTCTCAGAATAAGGTTTTAAATGTATAAATTAAATGTATCGGATTACAAAGGAAATCAATCATATTGAAATACAGTTATCAAAACAATAAAAATTTAAAAAGAAATGGGCTCATGGACTCCAGGTTAAGAACCCTAACAGTTCATACTTCTTTGATAAAATATCATATATCTATTAGGAAGAGTTTTATATTTGAAATATAATTACATTTATACATTTGTGACTATATTAAAATGCATAGACTGCAGCATAAGTGCATGAAAATAAAATACTATTCCTCTAATACAAAATATAAGCATTACTACAAAGCTTAACAAAGCCGAAGCTTTGGCTTCCAGCAAATTTCTAAGAGAACCTGGCAATAACTTATAAATCTTGAATCAGAGTTTCAGACTCCATGGCTGTTCTCAAAAGATGGTCGGTCACCTCAATTTTCAAGACCAAACTGGGTCAGGAGGGATCAGGTGCTGAATGGAAGAGCATCTAAGTGAAGTGGCTTCAGGATGACCTTCCTGCTTGGCCCCTCACTTCAATTCCCAGCAGCTCTCTCAGGCTCATGCATGTCAATAGAAGATCAAGGTAATGGATGCTCAGTAAACACTATGTGGGGGGACTCTTGACAGGATAGAGATACACTGAGCCAAACAAATGGCTGAATGAAAATCATGGCACATTAACCATTTACTGAGGATCAGAAAACCTTACAACAACTTTTAGAGAAATAAATCTGGAAACATTAGTGTATCATTTTCCTGAAGATGAAGAGGTGGCATTATTGAGCCACAAACTCGTGTGGCTTGACATGAAAATACTATAGAGAGACCACATCTTCACTGTCCTGACAGCGAAACACAGCTTAGAATCTTGTCAAATCTATCTTATTAGTAAAAATAAACTCATAATTTAATAAGAGTCTAAACTTGCTGCATGGTGTCTGGGCCATAATTCCTTGGTGATGACAGTACAGGTTATCAACTGTAATATAAATTTAAATTTTAAGCACAGTATTTTTAAAAAGAAAAACATTTATGATGACAAAATTCATCAAAGTTCCAAATAAGTGAACTTAGTATACTTTCATCCTTATGTATCCCCCCCCCCAAAAAAAAAAATTTATGGTCATAATTGGGACTAACTGAGGAAGAACTAACCTGACAAACTTCATTTCCCTGTAGCTCTCTCAGTGAAGAGCTGAATATGGTCCAATAATAAGCAGTAGAAGTGATTTAATCAAACTAGGTCAATCTGGAAGCAGGAGCAGGCAAGTCAGCAAGCAGAAAACAGATCAATGGAAAAAGCAATCTAGAAAGCTAAAACTATATCCTCCAGTGTCTATGATGATGAATACCTCATGACACCATCTGATCTGGGGGTGGGGAGGTTCTGGGTAGAAGGGCATACTGTGTATGAACTGGCCAGTTTCCCAAACAAGATTGAAAATCACCACTTTACAATTTTTTTTTCCTGGCTGATACACATTCCCCATCTTGCCCATAAAAAGTATTCAATACCTGATGGGCTTTGTGCTGCAGAAGGAGTGGAAGTGGAGCTGGGTGCAACCGAGTCACAGCGCCCCGTACTCCCACTACCACTGGAACTGCCACTGGAAGGAGGAGATGATGATGACAGGGGTGACGAACCATGCTGGTTTATACACTGGGCCACAGCAAAACCTGCAAGACAAGACCCTGAAATTCACAAACAGGGAAAAAAAAATCATCCAATCTTAACAGGCAAAGATGGCCTTAAGATGGACTGGGAAGGCCAAAGGATGAGTGTTCATTTCAGCACTAACAATTCTACAGGTCAAATAAACAACAAAAACCATTACTTGTATCAATTAACAATTTCTAAGCTCAAGCCAATGGTCTACTTGATTCAAAGAATATTTGACACAACAAAACTGAAGTGCAGTTAAAGTGTCTGGACAGCCCTCTAGAGTTTGTTGTAATGGTTTTAACCTGTTCTTTAAAAAAAATTAAAATGAAAATTTCATAAAGCAAACATGCTGGCTGCAAGCAAGAGAACAAAGATGGTTGAATACAGGAATGAGAATCACAAATCTAAGTTCCTCATGTTGGCTCCCTAATGAATTTAGTAAGCAGGTCACTCAAAGCTCTGTTTTTCAGAATACTCTCAGTATACTGTGCCTTCTTAACTATAAAGTAACGACATTGCTGGTAACTCTTTAACAAGGAAAATTCTAACTCTAGAGTATTTTACAAACATGGACGAAAATATGGAAGCTTAAGAACATTTACAGGACACACACAAACTACAGGAAGGAACATAAGGATTGATGATTTGATCTGCCGACGAGTTTTCAGAGGATCACCAGCCTGGTCAATTCTCAACCCAAATGTGGCTTGTGGTACAAAGAAAGCTTTTTTTAATCAAAAACCATAAAAAGAATAGCTGTAGAACACTCTTCACAACAACTATGAAATTTGGAATTTTAGCAGCTTTAACATTTTCTCTGGCATATAACTTTCATACAATCTAAAACCAAAAGTTTGCTCTTTCTTCTTTTAGTAGGGATATACTTTTATGCACAAATTAAGTGCTAGCTCTCTAAAAAAGAACAGCTTTCAGTTAAGTGAATGTAGTAAATATAAAATAACAAACCTCACATGTGAAGAAGTCATTTTAAAGAAGCAGAACATAAGTGATCATCCATGGATAACATACACCTTTGTTTAAATTCCGAACAATTCCATAGTTCACTCTAATGAGCACCAAACAGCTTAACTCTTAAATTTGGGGCATGACACTTAAGCAAGAACAAATCAGTGATCACAAGGTCTTCTTCATCTGATTACTGTTCCAGAAATATACTGTGTTCATGCTGGACACAAAGCCTTTGTTCATGTTTTCCTTTCTGCCTGCCATACCATTATCCTTGCTGTCTGCCTATTTCAATCCTATCCGTTCAAAGCCAGCCTCAGACACTTACTGTGTGATCCCAGGGAAATATATTTGTCTCAATTTCCTCATCTGTAAAATAAGCTGGAGAAGGAAACGGCAAACCACTCCAGTATCTTTGCCAAGAAAACCCCAAATGGGGTCATGGAGAGTTGGACACAACAGAAATAACTGAACAACAACAAAAGTTATATTTAATCCTAGAAAGTGTTTCAAGAAAGTTTTTAGAACTTAATGTAAGCATTTATGAAATGTCTACCAATAGCTCCTCCTCATTGTTTATGTGAGGCTAAAGAAGTTTATTATGGCTAATAAATTACATGTGCAAAGGAAGAAGTTGTTAAATTGAACAGTACAGAGATTATCTGACAGCAATGACTGAGTGCAATAAATATTTAGCCCAATATTATCAGACAAGGCATTATACCTACTGTTTCATTTTTTCTGTAACTGATGAGGTTGGGGTGTGCCAGAGGATCAACAACAATAACAATAGCTAACATTTATATGGCATTTTAAGGTTTACAAAGTTCTTTAAATGTATTATCTCACTTGATCCTCACAAGAACCCAGCAAAGTAGGTGCTATTATTGTCCCTATTTTACAGATAAGGAAACTGAGGCTAAGAAAATTTAAGTGACTTGCCCAAGGTGACACTGCTATTACATGCCTGAGGCAGGATTCAAACTCAGGTCTTCCTGATGTCCAATCTAGCACTTTCTCCATTACATTATCTAGCTACTATGGTCCCATCTGAGGTCTTTTCCTTTTGTTAAGACCAAAAGCAGAGGAGGACCCTGGAAAAATGGTGGAGTAGGTCAGAAAATTCCAGGCTCTCAAGATTCTTCCCCAGAAAAGAGATGCAGTAGCACCTCAGGGCAAACATATGGTGGTAAAAATAAATAAAAGTAGGGGGGCAGAACAGGGGTCTTCCTGGGATGATCGGAGAAAATCTGAAGAAAAGTCCCAGGACCAGGTTTCTTCCTGTAAAGAATAAACCCCTCCAGGCTAGGTCCTAGGTCCACTTAAACAACAAGCAGCAAGCCCTGGGATTAGCTGGGTTGCGAAGCTGCCTCTGCCCCAGCTGCAGGCACTTTTACCCCTGAAACAGTGAGGGGTGTTAGGTGTCTAAGCCAAGGAAGATCAAAGGAACTTCTGCAGACAAGGAATGCCGGACCCAGCTGTGCTGTGGAGAAGCTGATGGGTGAGAAGGAACCAGCACACACCTGGTGAGTGCAGAAGCAGTGGGGCAGGACACCATCAGCTGTAGGCACTTAGAGGAGGCTGGAGGTCATGGTTCCAGTTCCAGGCTAGAAGAGAGAACTGAAACAGGATCTGAGGATAGAGGTACCATCCTCCATGTCCCAGGATTAGAGATGATTATAAAAATTAAGCCACTACAAATAAAAAAAAATGCACAGGCAAAAGAGAAAGAATCCAACCATAGAGAGTTACCATGGGAATAGAGAAGACTGGGGTTTATCTTCAGAGGAGGATAATGAAGCAAAGAAACTCTCTTCTACCCCAAGGAGTAATGTCAAATGGTCACCCACTCAGAAAGAATTCACAGAACTTAAAAAAGACTTTAAAAATCAAATGAAAGAGATTGAGGAAAAACTTTAAAAAAAACCCAAGAAAAATAAGAATATTATGAAAAAAAAGTCAACCAATTAGAAAAGGAGATCCAGAATCTTAAGGAAGAAAATGACTCCTTGAAAATCAGAATTGGGTAAGGGGAAGCCAGCACAGTTATAAGAGATCAAGAAATAATAAAACAAAATATAAAGAATGAAAAAATAGAAGAGAATGTGAAACATCTCATAAGAAAAACAACTGATCAGGAGAACAGATCAAGAAGAAAAAACATAAGAATAATCAGACTACCTGAAAACTATGACCAAAAACAGAATCTTGATACAATAATGCAAGAAATAATTAAAGACAATTGTCCTGAAGCATTAGAACAAGAGGGGAAAGTAGAAACAGAAAAAAATCCATCTATCACCACCTGAAAGAGATCCTATGAGGAAAACCCATAGGAATATTATAGCAAATTCTGAAACCCCCAGCTCAAGGATAAAATATTATGAGCAACAAGAAAAAAAAATTTAAATATGGTGGTGCCACAATTAGAATCACACGAGATCTAGCAGTTTTGACACTGAAAGACTGAAGGTCTTGGAACACTATATATCAAAGAGCAAAAGAACTAGGGCTCCAGATGAAAATATCATACCCAGAAAAGCTAAGCATAATCCTGAATGAAAAAAATGGACATTTGATGAACTGTCAGACTTTCAGGACTTTTGTTTAAAAAAAACCCTGAACTTAATAAAAGATTTGACATATAAGGGCCAAGATAAATATAAGGTATATACCAAAGACTAATTACAAGAGACTCGATAAGGACAGAACGATGTCTAAGATTGTTATTAGTAACTGGGTAATTCGTAAGAAAGATTGGGGTAGAGCTGAGTATGACACGCTTTTAAAAAGTAAAACCATTTAGGAACAGTTAAAAAGAGTAATTATCTCATACAAATGAGGTGTGAGAGGAAGAACCCACACAGAAGAATTAGACAGGGGAGAAGGGCTATTAGTTCTGGAAACCTACTTTCATCGGGAATGGGTTTAAGAGGGAACTCTCTCTCTCTCTCTCTCTCTCTCTCTCTCTCTCTCTCTCTCTCTCTCTCTCTCTCTCTCTCTCTATATATATATATATATATATATATATATATATATATAACATACACACATATGCATATATATGTATATTTAGAAGAGTAAGTCTTCTAAATTCAGAAAAAAATAAAATGCCAAGGGATAGGGAGGGGGGAGAGGATAAGGGAGGGATGTCTAGAGGGGAGGATGAGGGAATAGGTATAGAAGGGTGTTCAGATTAATAGGAATGGGAGGACAAGGGAGGCATCCCTGGGAGGATAAGGGAGGTATGTTTAGAGGGGATGGTGAGGGAATAGGTCAAAGAGGGGTACAGAAGGATGTTTAGGTTTATGGGAATGGTAGAAGAAGGGAGGGATCCTTGTGAGGGGTAGGTTAAGTAACAGGTGAGCAAGGCAGTGGGTAGAAGTAAGGTTTAGGAAATAAGAGATACGCACAAACATAAAAACAAAGATCAGAAGTAGGATTTGTTAGGGAAAGCATATGTCTCTATATATGTATGTACATAGGGATATATATATGTATGTATGTGTATATATGTATATGAGTATCTATATATATCTATACATAAATATATCCAAGCTTAATTGCAGCCTTGGTGGGGAAGGAAGGGGGGAAAAAGAACAAAGTAAAAAGTGAACAGCAGAGAACAAAAGAAAACTAACAAGGAAGCAAAGAAACGATGGACAGCTCTCAACAGTATTTATTACATAGGCGTTCTTGAAATGAAAATTTATTGCTTTATATTTTGAATCCTTTCTTACGTTCTGCTGTGCACATGACAAGATTTTTTTCTTTTCTTATTTTGTATTTAACTTTATAATGTTTCTTTTTCTTTTCTTATTGTGTATTTAAGTTTCAGCAATAAAAAAAAAAGACCAAAAGCAATTTATCTGGTGAGATTAGCTCAAAAACCAAATGGAAATGAAAATCATATTAAACTGGTATAAATCAGTTGTGTCAAACTCAAATAGAAAAGATCCCTGCTGGCAGCATATTAACCTAGAAAATTAACATTATGTTGTATTATTTATTTTTATTATTTATTATTTTTGTTTGTTAAACATTTTCC